TATATATATATATATAATGTATGTAGATAAAAACACGGTGCAGCTGCCTTCAAAGTCCACACACACACACACACACACATATATACCACACAAAAGCTCCAGCACATAATAAGCATTATTATACCATATAAATATATATATATAATTTGTATATATATATGTATTATGTATTTGCTTATTATGTGTTCGAGTTTTTGTGTTTTTCTGTTATATATGTGTTTTCTTATATACACACAAATTATAAAACATCTAACAAAAACACAAAAACCCCAACACATAATATATTTTGTATATATGTGTATGTATGTATTTGCTTATCATGTGCTGGGATATTTGTGTGGATTTATGGTATATGTGTGTGTATATATGTATTGTATATATATATATATATGTATTTGCTTATTAAGTGTTGGTGTTTTTGTGTGGTTTTATGGTATATTTTTTAATATTTTGTTTTATATATATGTCTTGTATATATATTTGTATTTGCTTATTATCATGTGTTGGATTTTTTGTGTGGTTTTATGTTTTATTTGTGTGTGTGTGTATAATGTTTTGTATTGTGTATATATTTGTATTTGCTTATTATTATATGTTGGAGTTTTTGTGTGGTTTTTACCTTATGTTATATGTGCGTTTTCTTTCATATTTTGTAATATATATAATACAAAATATAGAAGAAAACACACATATATTGTATTCTATTGTAATCTGTATGTTTTAACTGTAAGCCGCCCAGATTGGATTACCAATGGGCGGGGTACAAATAAATTTTATTATTATTATTATTATTATAAACACATAATAATAAGCAAATACTTCTTATACATTCATATATCATAAACCTCCCTAATCCAATTCCTTAATAAAATTTCCTTTACAGCCTGTTTCATCCTTTTAAAATACTCATTCCTCCCTTAACATTTTTTCCCTTCCTTTCATCTCCATAACCTTCCTCCTAAACCAGGGGTAGGCAACCTTTTTGAGCCGGGGGCCGGGTTGCTGTCCCTCAGACAATTGGGGAGCCGAAGCACCATAAATAAATAAATAAATAAAATATGTATGCACACTCTCTCAGGCCCAGAAAAGCCATGATGGCAAAACCCCTGTGGAGATTTTGCCAAGAAAACCCCCCAAGAACAAGTAATAACAACAATAATCAATATCATCATGGCGGGCGGCAGTGGCAGGACCGGCCTGGGGCCAGTCCAAAGGCCTCAGAGGGCCGCATCCGGCCCCCGGGCCTTAGGTTGCTTACCCCTGTCCTAAACCCTCTTTTCTATTAAACCAATCTCTCCTTTCCCCTCTTTCCTTTTAACCACAGATCAACACAAAACACTTATGAAGCCTTTCCAGCTGCCTCAGGCAGGTGTTGAGAGGAACCACAATGGTGTTGAAGGACTGAGCAAACAAATGAAAACAAATTGATTGCAGATTATGAATACACAAGTCTGGACATGTTCACTGCATCCACACTGCAGAAATAATCTGGTTTGACACCACTTTAACTGTCATGGATCAATGTTATAGGATCCTGGGAATGTGGCACAGAGCAGAGCTCTGTACACTGTAGAAATAATGCAAGACTTATAATGATGATTAA